CAAGGTACGACGGGTGGTTATGATTCTTTAATGTAACTATTAAGCAAAAAAAATTTATGAAACACTACATTATTGTATTTTGAGTAAATGGCAGACTTCAGACTACTGTCCAATTGATTACATTGTAGTTTTAAAAAGACTTTTTCAAACTTTAGGAAACCAAGACCTTTCTTGGCATCAAAAACAACATGATATGGAAAGAGATTTAGAAACATCTGACAGGAAAGTCAAAGATCTGCAACTACGACTAAARCGATCAACAAARGATAGTCAATTTAAAGATGACCGCATAAACTACCTGGAAAGGGAAGTTGAGGACCTGAAAGAACGCTTAAAGAAAGCTGAGGACACTTCTGTAAATAATAATGGTATATCAGCRGAAGCGCAAAGACCTAAGTCTTCTTCAGTGTGTGTGATACTATAGGARCAATAAATAGTTTGTTAGGAATTTGTTGGAGAATAGCATCTTTTCACGTTATTATAATCATATTTATAACATTAACTTATTGAAAAGCCACCTATTTTGCTAAGGAAAGTTTATATGTATTACTACTAGATGTGTGGAGAAGGTGTACCATATATGCCGGTGTCGATCTTTTACCCTCCAAAAATAAAAACAAACTATACTGATAGATCTGGTAGGTAGAACACGAGATCTAGAGAGAGTGTTGAGCAGCTGCTAATCTGTGCAGGATTTAGAATATGATGTACATAAGTGGTATGATATGACGTTTGACATCATTTTGATTGCAATGATACTAGTCTTGCAAGTTCACAGTGGCCTATATTTCTAGAATGGTGTGGATTTACATTGAAGAAAGCCATCCGGTGAACATGCAACATTTTATGGATTATTCATTGGTTATAATCTAACACTGCAAGCTCTCTTGTTGTAGTTATTAACCTCATTTAGTAATGGTAGAGGCTGGGAACTTTGAAGACATGAATTGTATTGATTATAAATGATAACTAACTGTGTAACCATAGAATGATGATAATATATATTATAATTTATCTAGCAATGATAATRATTATACTTTATGTGAGATAAAGCTACCTCATTCAACCAGCTTTCTAGCATCAGAGTGACACAGTTTCTTAGTACCAGGATTTCATATATTTTACTAAAACAGGAACCCCAAAATGTAAGAAATGTGCACTTCAAGTAACAGCATATACATATGATAATAGTATGCCAATATTTAATTTATTTTCATCTTTGGCTCATTGAAGCAAGAGTATTTTTGATAAGCAAGTCACCCATAAACTTTGTTATTTTTTTATTAGTTACATTTCATTTGTTGTAAATATATAATATATATTTGTATTGACAAAACTAGAAAGTCACAACATAATTTAAGTTTTTGCAATGTCATGTGTGTAAAATAAAAATGTATTTCTATAACAGTTTTTAATGAATGGGTTGTTTTTCATTAGGGGCTAGCTATTTGACTTTTGAGGGGGGAGGGGGTGGATGATTTGGTCAGTTTTTTTATAGACTCAAATATTCTAGTGGATATTTCCCCTTACAGGAATTTTTATTCCTGCCCTTGTACCGAGCAGGAAATGTATTCTTAAAATCACCCACCCCCTCCTTCAAAAATCTAATGGTCATCCCCTTATAAGCAGTAAGGGAGTGGTCGTTAATTGTTGTCTCTATCCACACAAAATGAAATTAAAAATATATGACAAACAAAATATTTGTAGTCCTCCAAAAATACAGATTACATGAGGGACAAAAAAGGCTGAGGGGTTTCTCCGGCCAACAAACTCCTGGCTGCGCAGGCTCCAACAAAAAAAAAATCTGATCTGTTTTGATTTTGAAGGAATTAGAGAGCGATGAGTGTATTTTATATTAGAAGTAAAAAAAGGTGATGGTCAGATTCTCGATCTTTTTCTCTTGGAAAACAGGCAAAGCGAAACTAAAGTCCTGTAGAGTGTTCCGTTGCTAACATCGACTCATGGTAACCATGGTCCTTAARAACCGCWGGCTCAATGTTTTGTTTTGAAGCCGTTTCMAAAAAGTTGCGAAAAGAATTCTAGAAGCTTTGATCGTGAGTACAGATCACCGTTTTCCAATATAATTTCGCCATGGGTTGCTCCGTGAGTGTTTTAGATGATGGATCACAGAAGCTCGTTCTCAAAGAGAGCGATCTAAAAGAGTCAGTTCCGGTTGGTGTTGGGACGCACGCTGCTTCGTACAAAAGGTTTCATAAACAAAGGACTAGAAGAAAGACCATCAGAATTGATTCCAATATTGTACTGAAAAACAGAGAGTTCACTTTACCGATGAGTTGGAGGAATCAAACAGGTATTTGAAGAAAAACGATCTAGTCTTTATTGGCAGCCTGGACCGATTATCCTTGAAAAGTTCTTAAAAGTCATCCGAAGTCATTTGTTATATAATGTCTGATCATTTGTTGTCATTAACCATTGAACTTGATGCCTATGTGCCTGTTTTAGTTACTTGTCTTTTTCTTGTAAATTAACTTTATATCAAATACCACTGTATCATGGAAAAAATGGGAAAACGGAATGGAAATAATATATTTTTTTTGTCTGTATTTTTTCTTATTTTTCGGGGGCTGCTCTGACCTTTTCAAGTGCTTAGTTTGTGTGGTTTATAATATCAGTTTTTTATTTATTAATCAACATTTCTGCTGTTTTTTCCAGGTTATGATTTTAACAAACCATTKCCAGCCAACACCAACATTTTCCAATCCAACAAAAGATCTGGCATAAAAACTAGAATTAAAAACCAATTCTTCAAGGGTCTTGGCAATTTGTCACTTTGTTCAGTTCTGAAAGATGAATTTCAAGAAGACTGTGGTATGACGATAAATGAAACTGAAAAAAACTCCAGCCGCATACCTAAGTTCACTTCATCTGTGCAACATGTTGGCCAAACCTCCTCAAACCTTCAAACTGTTTTGCCAAAAAGAGAMAGTAGTATTATTCCTTTTGAGAAAGAAGCCAGCTCTACTACCACCTGCTTTGAAGACAGAATGTTGGGTAGTCTAAAAAACCTTTCTCTCAGAAGATCCAATCTTTCGTTACAATCAAACAAAAGTTCAGAGAAAAGTGCAAGAAGCTCATTAACATGGTGTTCTAATAGTTCCGAAGCATTATCAGTAGTTTACATTTCTGATATAAATAGCAATTTAAATAGTTTATCATATCCATGCAATGCTGATGTTGAAGCTAGTTCAAATACCATTACAATAAAGGAAATACCCACAATGCAGCTCATGCAAAGTGGGCAGGGTATTGGAAATTATGACTCACTTACACTTAAATCTGAAGAAGTGGCAGTAGCAGTTCACCAAGATTTCTTCAATGGTCAGTGTTGTTACTTCATTAATCCTGTTTTCACTCTTCCAATTTTCTACTTCCCTTCCCATCTCATCTGTTCTTTGCTGCATTTCCATGCTTTCCATTTTTTCTCTTTTCAGTTTTGTATATATATCAAGTTCTTATTCTAACTTTACTCTTGATCAATATCCGATCCTTTCCCATCATGCTTTCTATTCCATTCTTTACATGAATTCATGATTTCATTTTCTTTTTTATTTGTCCGTCCTGTCATTWTTTTAAATKTTSATCCTATTTCCAAAATTGCTTWTATTTGCTAAATTCAGTTTCTCTGGCTCACTTTCTGTAAACCTTTTCAGGGTCCTTTCGTWWTTTT